TGATGATGTTCCCTAGTTTGGATAATGAAACATCTGCAAGAAAACAAGCTAGCTCAGAGAGCACCAAGGACCCCACAGTCCTTGAACCCTGAGCTACAAATCTTCTCTTCTATGGAATATGTACTTTTAATTGACTTTTGCCCCTACACTTCAAACCATGGTTCTTTTCTTACCATGGTTCTCTTCACCGCTTTTCTTGAATCAACCATAGCTGATTGAATTCACACAACCCAGCAAACTGCAAAGCCTGGGCTTACAAACCAGGTGCGCCCAACTTGTCCATCTGCAAAGATGCCACTCAGATATATTGAGCTGCATAAAATGTTTTCAGTTCTTCGGGGCCAAACAGTTTTTTCTTCCTTGCCTTCGACAGGCCGAGATTAAAAAATTCAGCAAAGCCCGGAAGATTGAAATAAAGCAGCTAGAAAAGCTGGAGAAAACCAGACACAAGTCACCCTCCAATCAACATATGATTGTATCCTTGGCTGAACATAATTGAGTCAATTTCTCCTTTGGCTTCTGGAAATGTATTTACCGTTATTTATTCCAGTGTTTCTCAACCTTTGAAGATGTGTGGACTTCCAATTCCCAGAATTCCCCAGCCAGCTACGCTGTGCTATGCTATGCTATGCTGACTGGGGAATTCGTGGAGTTGAAGTTCCATATTATCTTCAAACTGCCAAAGCTGAGAAACACCTATTTATTTATTAAATTTATTTGCCAATTATCTCACCATGGGGCTCTCTAGGTGGCTTAGAATAATGAAAAGGAAGAAAATAAAACAGAAGCAGACGTAAAATAATTAAACCCATGAAATAGACAATTAAAAGGAACACAAGGAGAATAACGCAGGTAGTCCTTGACTTACAATAGTTCATTTAATGACCAAAATTACAACGGCACTGGAAAAATTGGCCTATTACTGTTTTTCACATTTATGACTGATGCAGAATCCTGTTCATGTCATGAAAATTTGGACGCTTGGCAACTAATTCATATTTATGATAGTCGCAGGATCCCACTGCAAAGTTATGGAGAAGTCAGATTCACTTAACTTAACAACTGCAATGATTCCTTGAACAACTGTGGCAAGGAAGATCATAAAATGGGGCAAAACTCACTTAACGACTGTCTCGCTTACCAACCAGGCTCAATTATGGTCCTAAGTGGAGGACTACCTGTATATCAATATGATAACCCCAAAAGATGGAAGGGTAGAGAGCAGAGAGGAAGGGGAGGGGAGGTGGAGTCTGCCATCAATCCAGCAACCAGCCCCAGTGTGGAATTCCCCCATTGGACCCCAGGGGCCAAATGTACCCCAATCTCCCACGATCATCGAATTCCGATTTTCCCAAGTTTGGTGGTGTTTGGGTTTTGTTTTTTTTTTGGGCCAAGGGAGGTTTGTGTTACCAAAATGATTTCTTCCGAAAACTCTCCACAAAGCAGCCGAAAAGATTGGAAACAGACGTGCACGGGGGAAATATCGCTCAAACGAGGAATGCCAATAGACAATTAATTTCTCTAGATTGCTACCAGCAGCCCTGAGAAGCCGAGTGAAAAACCACAGGGACATAGTTTAATACCCAGAGGTGCCAAACCTTACTCACAGATGGGCAAGCTGTCAGTTTTAGTTTCTCGGTTTTTTGCAAATATTGTCAAGTAATTCTGCTCCACGTCTGAATTGGCCAGATCTTTCTTAAACTTCACACAATAATGTGTGCACCTTGGTTCACCTTTTCCAAACTGCTTGGGGTGTTTTTTGCTTGCAATGTTGCCTGGCGATTCAAATTACATCCGTCATTTCCTCTACAGGAATGCTTTTCATAAATACATGCATTTTTTGCAACCTTTCCTTGCGCACATCACATTACAATATATTATGTTGAACCAAGCAGTTATACTTTGAGGAAGCCTAAATCCGCACGTTAACTAGGTTTTGGATTTGCATTCTAATTTGAAATGCAAAATTAAATACGTTTACACCTCGATGCAAATTAAATATTTCCCCCACCCCATGTTTATGTATCGCAGGGCTGCAAAGCTAAAACAAGAAATTAAAAATATGCTACAGAATCCTAGTGAAGTCAGATGCTTATTGCTGTTCTAGATTTTAGCCGGCGAATATCGTTATTAGGCTGAGACCAGGAAACCTTTTTATGTATGCAGAAGGCTCAGAAAGAGATTTTTAAGCACGTATAAAAGAGAGAGGTAACTGAAGATAACCCCTCCCAAACCCTAGTTGTTTTCCTAACATCTATCTCCAAGCCTGTTTTTGCAAAACCAATCAAAATGTCCCCTTTTCACCTTCAGAGTGATTAAAAACCTTAAGATTTTCCTGCAAATTCCTCGGGGCCTGCGATTGACATCAAAACAGCTTCTTAGCATCCACACCTTTAAAATGCCAGCGAGAATGGCAGTCACCTTCTTTCATGACATATTAAACCTACGGGGAGGGGAAATAAGATCTTGCTGGGGAAAGACACCACAAGATAATCCTGAGAGATTAAAAAAAAAAAATCTTTTTTTATCATGCGTCTTCCTGCAGATATTTTAAGCGGGATATTGAAGAACCAAATCGCTGTAGTAACAGACACGGAGGGAGGGAGGGAGCAAAATTAAAGGTGGCAGCTCTGAAAAGCAAGTCCTTTGGGAAAATCCTTTGGAGGGGGGGGCAGAACAGGTCAAGCAGCTGTAGGAACTAATTTGGTGCTAGTGGTGAAGATGCCGGATTAGAAATCAGGAGGGGGTGAATTCTGTTTCTCCTCTGGTCAGGAAAGGCAGGTGCTTAACTTCAGGGCTAGCCCCTTGCTCTCAACCCCTCAACAACACAACACCTGCCTGTTGTGGGGAAAAGCAGGAGAGGAGGGAGGATTAAGTACGCCTGTCTTGAGTTGTACAAAGCAAAGGGGCATGAATAAATAAATAACAACACAGGGAAAGGGAGAAAGACACCTGGAGATCGGTAGAGCAGGGAGGGAGACAGGTGATGGCATGGATCATCCATCGTTATTGGATGGGAAAGGAGCGAACACCTGATAAACCAGCATGTTCTCTTTTTCTAGGGCCAATCTAGCAGCTTGGTGAGATAGACCAGATCAGGAATGGCCTCAAGAGCAAGGCTTGGATTCTATTTGATTAAACATTTATTGAGTGTTCTCCAACTTTAGGATGTGGGGACCACAACTCCCAGAATTCCCCAGCCAGCATGGTGCTCACACCTTAAAAGTTGCTGAAGTTGGGAAACACCAGGCTACAATAAGGGGATCTTGCAAGTCTTCCCTTCCCTTCCCTTCCCTTCCCTCCCCCCAGGAGACAGTGGGGAACCATCCCAGAATCTCTTCCTGTCTTCTTTCCCTGAGCTTCTATCCTTTTGTATCGTAGTTTCCTAAAACCTTCATCTTCACCATCATCTTCACCTTCACCATCATATTCTCAGGAGCAGATAAATCGGCCTCCTTCCATCCCATTCTCACAGATCCTGGAATACCGGTTCCAATTTTTCAGCCACATCTCCTCTTTTGGCTCCTTCCTCCACAGAGGAATCGTTACCAAGATGAACTTTAAGTTACCAAGCTCATCTTGGTCTTCGGGGACAAAATTGGGTGCCCCCATAATTCTAAAAGACCCTGCAAGGAACATCCAGCATTTCTGGACTTTCAGAGAAAGTTTTGCCTGTGGGCTCTGAATCTGCTCACTCTGGGATTCATTCCCATGTTTTGACAAAGTCTGTAGACAGCCAGATGGAGCCACACGCCCACACAATTACAGCCCCTCGTTTCCTTTCTTCAAAATGTGGTTTTGCTTTCCTTTCACCAAATGTTTCCCCTCGCCAAGAGATGAAAACAGTCAACCTGAGCATCTCGGAGACTATTTTTTTCGGGGTCTCAATGACCCAGATGTGCTCCAACCTTCAGACTATCCTTGATCAGATGGCCTACCCACCTTCTAATCCTCCTTCTGCCTCCCCCACCCCAGAAATGTCTCTTCCTGCTCTTTCTCCACCCAAGCTCAACAGACAAATCTTCCTGAAGGCTCTGCGACGGATTCATGGACACGGCTGCCCCCTCGTGTTGAAGTTACCGAACGGCCAAGCTCTGTGTAACTTGATAAATGTTATCCGTTTTAGTTCAGAGAGTCCAGACGCCAAGTTCAAAGGTAGTGTTACCCCAAAATGGACTCTGGAGGACTGCTACTAGACGGTTTCTGATCTAGTCTTTCTTGCTCTCCTCAAAGATCAGTCTTACGAGCTACCTGAAAGAACCAGCATACTGCAAAGCACGATGTATCATTTTGTTCCAAAGAAGCCATTTATTTTAGCAATGGCTTAGCCAAGCCTTGGTAAGATGGACTCCATCACAGCCAGAACGGCTACTATGAAAAAAGGTTCTGTTTCCTGTTCAATGTTTTGCCTTGACTACCACCTTCAGTCACAGGTAAGGGGTTTCTTTTCTTGTAAATGGCCACCAAAGACCCAGACTCAGTATTGTTAAAATAAAGACACAAGTGGAGATCGTCTTGATACAAGAGCTGCTCTCCAGAATAAATGTCTACTGGACACAGTGTTTCCACAAGGGTATATTCACAAGAGAAGTTCAACTATTTCTTTTTTTGAAAACGCTTCTCCAATAAGGAGACATGCCAAAAGACCCCCAGATAAGGCAGATGATGTCATTCTTCCATAACTTTATGCTCCTTTTAGATATGGGGATTTTCAATATATTTCCAGACATAATTTCTAAGAGGGCTACCAGGTTGGAGAAGGCTTGGCCAAAAGACACCTCAAGTTACTAAGTCTTAAATTCAAATCGATCCATAAAAAGCATTTGCCTTTCTTTCAGGAACTTCGGGAGCTAAAGCAAAGTAGTTTAACTGTGCTCTTACAAAGTATGTCTTCTACACATTTTCTCCAGATGTTGTATGAGGGCCCAGGAAATGTGTCCACCCTCTGATACCTTCCATTGTTCCTGTAAATTCATGAGTTAAGGAGGAGATACAGGCTGAGTTGACCCCCTCCTAATCCACAATGTGGAGAGCGTCATGAATAGTGAGTCACGTTACTTTGTAAAGCTCTGTGTTCTATGTGACACAGACCATCATGGCTTGTCTAATGGACAACCCTCAAATCAAACTGCAGCAAGAGAGATGATAGATGGATAGATAAATAGATAGACAGACAAACAGACCAGAGAGACAGACTGACCAACTGACTGACTGACCATCCTGGGGTAAGTGACATTTGATCCAGAATTCCCTCAAGCTTCTGTTTCAAACCATACATACAAAATGACACCAGTTATGCTCAGAATTGGAAATAACATGTACTGTATTCCTTTCACTGCAGTCCAAAAGAAAGATAGAGCAATTCTCATCAATATTCTAAGAACAAACCAGAGTCATTCAAAGTGATGTAGTCCTGTTGAAACCAGTAGTGGGATTCAAAAATTTTTACTACCAGTTCTGTGGGCATGAGTTGGTGGGCGTGGCAGAGGAAGGATATACTACAAAATCCCATTCCCTTCCCACCCCACTAACCTGCTTTCCAGCTCCGTTCTCCTGTGCAGGGCAACCAAAGGAGACCCAGCCGATCAGCTGGGACTCAATGGGAAACAGAGGATAGATGGGGTTGGCGGGGCCAGTCAGAGGCGGTATTGGCCAGTTCTCTAAACTACTCACAATTTCCGCTACTGGTTCTCCAGAACTGGTCAGAACCTGCTGAATCCCACCTCTGGTCCTGTTGAAACCACGCCAAAGAAACTGCTTCCCTGTATGATGTGAGGAAGCTCCTTATGAAGCTCTCAAAAGGCCTAGCTGTCGGATGTCCTCAGATCAAGCTTTTGACCCGTCACAGAAGGAGACAGGGCCAAGGCCCTTGAGGTGCTTCCTTGTACCAAATTAACTACTCGTATCTAGCGAGATGTTCGGAAGACGTGTTCCTCTTCCATCTTGCTCAGTACCATTGATGGGGAAAGCGGCGCTTGATGTGATGCACCTTCCCCATAAATATCTCCCTGGGTTCCGGGCAACCATCTCATCCATGTTCCACCCCTTTTTTGGCCAGGTTGAGTCTCAGGCGCACAAAGCTTCACTGGATGCAAGTCGGACGACTCAACAGCTCGAAGAGACTGTAGATGAGTTCCAGAAGCAGAAGTTAAAAGATATCCAGGTAATCTGTTTAGGAGCTGCTTCAAAAGCTTTGAATCATTTGTGCTGTTGGCGGAGACTAAGATCCCAATTTTTTCCCCAATGAAAGCATGTTCAGGTGAGGCTGAGTAGAACCTTGTGAAAATGCGCAATATAACCACAGAGAGCTACATTTTAAAACTGCAAACTACATCAAGCAAACAGACCTAGAGGAATCCTATTTGTTTTAAATTATCATCATTTTTTTATTTTTTTAAAATTTCTTGATTAAGAGTGCCCAACTCCAAAATTACTCTGGGCAGCTTATAAAACATCCTTTTATTGTCTTCTGCAAAGGATTAGAATGGAACATAATATAATGCAACAAAAACTGCCACTGTGGGAGGTCTCACATAAAAACTGAAAAAAATCCATATTGTTATAATTAACCTAAATGTATTGACCCCTTCATAAATACTGCAATGCTTGATTACTACTGGATTTGACTATTGCTGGAAAAAAAATGAATACAAAATTCAATATTCAGCTTCACTTCACTGAGAAAAACTGCTAAAGGAAACTTGTCAATTTGCAAGTTAGAAATTGAAAAGAGGAACTATATACGTGTGTTCTCTATAAGTACTATCTATGTAGTACTTGGATGGATGGATGGATAGATGGATGGATGGATGGATGGATGGATGGATGGATGGATAGATAGATGATAGATAGATAGATAGATAGATAGATAGATAGATAGATAGATAGATAGATAGACAGACAGACAGACAGACAGACAGACAGACAGGCAGACAGACAGACAGGCACAGAAAGACAGACAAGAGGAGGAAGGAAGG